AACATGTATGTATCCCAAGCTAGCGTCTTCCTTCAGGAGTCAACCAAGAGATCTTTTCTCAACAAGTACAAATGGGGAATCAATCTTCGTACTAGCAGTCTTCCCATTGCGTATCTTTTATTCAAGCGCAAGAAGCAGTATCGCGTGGCTCGCCCCATTATCAGCTACAGCTTCTTTGTGTATGCTCGCTTGTTTCGAGCCACATCTATTGTCTTGGACCTACTCATTCGAGATGTTTGTCCCTTATCGTTTGGACTTGCAACATTGCCGCAAATGTTAGGACAGCTGACAGCCTTTATGCAACAGCTACCTGATGACTTTTCTGCTGAGGTACATAATCAAGACCTTATTGGTTTCTTTACGTCCATACCTGTGCAACGAATACTGGACAGTGTTGGTGAGGTGGTTCAACGCTATGTTCGCAAACATCGTGCTGACATTACCCAGGATGTGTTCTCAGTTCGATTGGATTTGCAAGATTCCAAGCTACGGGTATGGAAGGGTCGTCCACGCAAAGGCGCCCAGAAGACGTATTTGGTGTATCTACAAGACATTGTGGCGATCTGTCGTCTTAGTTGCGAATGCAGCGTTTTCACAGTTATGGGCAAAGTTTTTCGACAACAGCGAGGAGCAACTATAGGCAATCAAATCTCTCCTATGCTTGCGAACCTTACCGTATCGCTATTAGAACAACGTTACATGGAGGAGCACCAGCATGTCTTTCGGCGAGTGCCGCATTTCTATTGCGTGCGGTATGTGGACAATAGGTTGCTTATCTGTAGTGCCGATCACTCGCATTACTCAGCCTTGCAGCACTTATTCTCGGATATGTTTTACGAGTCGCCAGTTGAGCTTGAGCAAGTCATCTCTAACGACGCCGACCAGGAATTCCTAGGCTTCGACTTCATCTCTGTTGAATCTAGACTTCACTTACTGATCAGAGACGAGCCCTGGAAAATCAGACTTCCACAAAGTGCAGGACCTCTACATCAAAAGCTTGCTGCTTTCACTTCGAAGAAACTGAGCATCCTTCGTCATGTCTGGCCTCCTGAAGATCGTGTAGATCAGCTTAGATTTCTCACACAGTTGTTTTTGAAGGCGGGCTTTGACCCAGCGTTACTTCGCTAGCAAAATATAGTGTGTGCTCCTTTTGAGATGCCTTTCTGTTACCTTTGTAGTTTCGTAGTCTTTGGGTTCAGCATTATGTCGCTAGATCTGCGCCTACCCGATGGCAGAGTATTGCGACTTCCTTGGTATCCTAATGCCGTAATTCCGGAGCCTTCAGCACTCAGCCCTCCGTCGGCATCTATGGGAACTGCAACCACGCACAACACCATCCTCGACATTTCTAGCGAGGGGGATCTTGAAGCAAGCAGCTTCTTTGATGTTTCGTCGATACGGAATCTCTTGTCAACGCAGCTGACCCTACCTGAGCCGACTAACTCGACGGACCTCGTTGCCAGAGAAGTACTCCTACAAGATCGCGTTACTTTTGCGGATTTCGATCGTGTACTGGATACGTTACCATCCTCAGTGCTTTCGGATCGGTCCATCTTCCAACCGGATGACATCGCCTGTGGTTCGGTGCCTTCTACATCTCTTCTCTCCGGCGCATACATACATGGTCCTCATGCTGGTCTTCATTCTGCGTTGAGGGTTTATCCCTGGCTCACCCGGTTGCTAGTTTGTATCGCTCGGACGCAAGTCCCGAATCTTATTTTTTCATCGGTGTCCATCAATCGCAACTGTGTTGCTCGTATGCATCGTGATTCTCACAATCATGCCTTATTCAACAACCATATCATTCCTTTGTCTGTCTTTGAAGATGGACACCTTTGGATTGAGCATCCACAAGGCACCATTACCCTTAATGATGTACCGGGAAATGCTGTACCAGTTCAGCTACCTTTCCTTGCTTTTGATCCTAGGTTACGACATGCTACCTTACCCTGGCAAGGAACCCGAACAATCCTCATTGCGTTTCACATTCGTTCCGCTTGGAGACTCTCTGAAGCCGATTTAGCTTCTCTCCGAAGCTGTGGATTCACGCCTCATGTTAGCGACGTGCGCGAAGATCCATACCTGTAAAGAGACGGACAAAAGACAAACTGTCTGCTTCTGCCTGCTGCCTGTTGCTTCTACGTGTACAAACCTGTTTGTAGCTCTTGCTCAAGCGTCTTGTGGCTTTTGCTTCGACTTGCCATGCAACGTGCCGATATCCTCGGGTCAGCACTGGATCCGCTTTTACCTCTTCAGCGCTGGATACAGTACACTCAAGGCGAGTTGCAGTCTCTTCGAGCAGACTGCCGACATCAGTTTGAGCAGATTACTTCAACTGAGCGTATTCAGCAGAGTCAGCTTGACTCGTTGCAGTCTCAAATCAGAGAGCTTGCTCAACAGCAAGCCCAATTTGCGGCTGAAATGACAGAGATTGCCAATACAGTGACAGATCTTTGCAGTAAGATACAGGAAACCCAGACCACGCTCAGAGGTCTTGTACAGGAGGTTCTCACACATTTCTCAACGCAGCAGCAATCAGCACTGCTGGATACACAGTTAGCCATCACGCAGCCGGATGTGCCGTAAAGAGTTTACAAAATCTACGGCTCACCTGTTCAGTAGTGTTTGTTGTAACCAACGTTCGTTGTTCTGATTGCGGTTTCGGAATTGCAGCCGTTTGTTTTTGATCCAGCGTTTAGACAGCTGCCTCTTGCGTCCATTTACCATGAGCGATCGACAGCAAGATGTTCCCGAACAAGCAGCGTCTCCTCGTGCGTCGTCGTCGGCACAGTCCCCTCAAGACGCCGCAGCACGTCGTGAATGGTTGGCCCAGGCCCTTCTCGAAGTTTTGGAACAATCGGGCACCGACTCACCAGCATCTTCGATGACTCTCGATAGTAACTTCCGAGAGATGCTTGCACAGTTCATCGAGACGACCACCAACGAAATCAACAATCTGAAGCAACGGGTAGCAGCGCTAGAGCTCCTCCATACATAGATTGCTACTTGCGCCCTGCATCAGAATCAAAATCAGGTGTACCATAGTACCACTCTTCGATTTCTTAGTCAACCGGCACAGACCGGGTAGGTGTGTGTGGAATTCCTGTTTCAAAGGAAGAGACTTTTTGAAGACTTTTCATCTTTGAAGACCATCGGAGATAGCGAGTAATGTTGAATGCAGGGGGGCAATCTGCCCAGTCAGAGTGATTGCCCAACGAAGAGGCTCTGACTAGGCACTGAAATCAGTCTGGGACGCTGGACTGACGTACCTGCAGTGATGTCCAAAAAGAAGACATCTGTGTGAGTATGTAGTCTTGAGACTACATACAGACTTGTGTAACCCACTTCTACTTTCTGTTCTACTTGCTTTGTGAGTACTTCGTCCTATGTAGTTGGCTGGTAGAAGAAGTTGTAGAGCATCTGAAGACATTCCAGTAATCTTGAAGCTCTGAAGACCACCTTTGTCGAAGCGGTACAGAAAGAGTGCACAATTCGAAGCGTGAAGAGAAAGATGACGATTCGAGACAACCAGCTCAGACTGGGTATGTGTGTGTGTGTGTGTGTCTGCGTGTCTCTGTGTGTATGTGTCGTGCATTCATCACGAACTTCCTGCAGATCCGGCGGGCTTTTGCATCGAGCTGCTGCAAACGACGTTTGAGTCCAGTGCAGCAGAGAGGGCGGAGAGGCTGACGCGCCCGGCTCCTCCGCTCAAGTCGTTTTGCTTGTGGCTTCTCTATTGCTGAAAACTGCGCACAAGCACATGCGAGAAGCTCTCGTTTAGATGTGATCCGTCCTGGGTCTCGAGGTCGCCAACAAAGCGATCATCGCCCAAGACTTCGTCAGCTTCACAGGAAGGCGACTGGAGGGCCTTTTTTTCATGTTACGGGCAGTTTCAGGTCATCGGGCAGATTACCACCCGCATCACCGACCCGAAGCGCAGCTTGGATTTCTACCAGAGGCCAGGGGCTCATGCTGCTTTGCGTTGAAACGATCCAAGAGCGGCTGTGTCTCAGGGTCATGGGAATGAAGCTGCTGTCCGTGCAGGCAAGGCACACGCCACGCACACGCAGCCTGCACGCTTGAAGCAACAGCAGCCTGCACGAGCAGCTAATTGCACCCGGTGCAGGAAGTGGCTCCTTACGGCTTCACGCCACTTGCATATGCCTTCCATTGAGACTGCTGGTACCGTGCTTGCGGTATTTCAACAAGGCTTTATTTCCTCGCATACACAGACGACACCCCTCCCAACGCGGAGCTTGAGGTTCCCGGGCTCTTGACTGCGTGAGAGTCAGAGTGGAGCGGGGCCGCGGGGCCCGGGCCCTCTCTGCAAGGCCGTGGAAAACCGAGAGTGGCTTTACCAGCGCGAGTACACCACCTTGGAGCTGCAGCACAGGCCCATGCGTGCCGGCCCGCAGCTCGCGGGTGTGTGCGATGGTGGCGTATGGTTGGGCTTGGCGCTTGCAGGTGGGAGTACCGGCCTGGCAGCTTGCGGCTGCCTGCTGACGACGAGGAGGCGCCGAGCGCACACAAGAGCCCACGCGCCAGCACGTGCTGGCGGCAGCACGCGACGACACGGCAGCCGCGCCCGCGCGGCTCAGGGTCTGGTGGGTATCGTGGTCCGGCTGCCAGCTGAGGAGCTGCGCAGGAGCGGAAGGGAAAGCGGTGCCGGTGCCTTGTCCTGGCCTTGGTGTCCGTGTGTCCGCCAGGCTTGCGGCGGAGAGCGAAGATCGCTCTCAACCCGTTCTCCACGATCCAGATGGTTTGCGGATTCAGTTGGAGCCTCTTTGAGAGATCCCGGCCGGCGGCGGTGACAAAAAAGAGCGGCCCGCTTGCTTTTGCAAGAGTCAGAGTGCTGTTGCGGCGGTTGGCCGCTGTCAGGTGGGCCGAGACTCCGAGACCGAGCCCCCTGGGGCCTCTGCCATTCCTCCGGGAGAAAAGTGTGCCGAGCCTCTGAGTCTGAGCTGCTGCGCGAGTTTCCCAGCCCTTCCTTCTGCGGCCAGGGGCTTCGGACTCGGGCGGAGGCCGCAGAGAAGGAATGCGAGGAGCTGCGCAACGAGTGCCAGGGCCCGCAGCTCAGAATTTCGTCTTCTCCCGAAATCGCCCCCAAATCTGTTAGATCGTCTTGAGGTCAACTGGATGAGCTTGCGAGGCTCTACGAGGACGGCTACAGTGCTACAGGCTCTTCCGTCGTCCGAGCTTCGGCCGTGAGCAGGAGTTTCGACGTGCTCACCAGAAGGTGCAGGAGGTGGGGAGGGGAGCCCATCTCCTCATGCGCCAGTGCAAGAAGCTCTTGCTCTTCTTGCCATCTTCTGCCGCCGACGAAACAGCGCCTGCCTGTCAGCCTTCTCCTGTCAGAAGGAGAAGGCGCGCAGGGAGACCATCGAGAAGCCGCTTGGTTGCCCTGCAGCTCCGCTCCGGTTCCTTCCTTGATCCGACGAGTGCAGCTCTTGGAGCGATGGCTCCAAGGCATCTGGGCTCCGCTGTGGAGGCCACCCTTGGAGCCGTCCCTGCTCAATGAGTTCGTAACAGCCCGTTCTGGTGGCCGAAGCGCAGTCAAAGTCCTTGTGCGAAAGTGGCCAGGAGCAGGGAAAGTGGACAGACAAATTGGCCCACCGCATGTCGCAGCTTCAGCAGGCACGGGATTCCAAGATGCTCACGTATTTCTTCTGCCACCCAGTATTATTAGCAAGCGGCAGCGGCAGGAGGAGTAGCAGTAGTTTGTCGTCGTCGTGATGTCGTTCTCTCGTTGTCGTCTTCGTTGATCACGATAGTCCTAATGCTGTCGAGACAAAAATGGCCTTATGAAGGTGGTGATAATGATGACAAAAAGGTCAGTGGTTCGGTTGCTGATGATGGTGATGATGTTTGGTGATGATGATGATGATGATGATGGTGGTGATGAAGGCCATTCCACAGCCTGAAGAGCTTCGATGTACTGCTCGTGTGGAAGCCGTTGTTTTCTCAAGCTCGCCTGCCTTCCAGAGACAAGCCGGTGCAGTTATTTTGACGCAGTGATCAAATCAAGCAGTATGCGCCAGGGATTCTCAGTGCATCTTGGGGAAAGTAAACCATTCACTGTGGTCATCGCCGCCGCGAGGTGCAATTGTGGACTGTCTGACTTTTTGGGAAGCCACTTTGGGCCAGCTACCAGAATGAACCTGTCGCCAGAGCTCCACGGTCCTTGGAAGAATGCCACAGGCTCGGCATCGGGTGAATCAACTGGGCCAGCGAGGACCCAGGGAGTTCGTGGACCCAGTGAAGCTGAGCAACAAAGCCAGCCTGATTGCCATCCAACATTCGATTGCAGCCTGGGCCCGTCTACGCAACGACATCGATGGCAGTGGAGTCCTTTCCTTTCGTGCCATGATGGAGCCCGCAAGTTCCGCAGACATGCCGCAACTGAACATCGAGGCCCTCCTGACCAAGCTGCATACGACACATTTGCAGCCGCAGCACGGAGAGTGGTGGGACGACCAGGGGGAAGCGGGAAAACCGCTCTCCGCTGATGGCGAGGCCATCATCAAGGAAGCCTCAAGACACTTTGGAGCAGGCCTTATAGACAGGAGTCTGGCACTTGGAGAATAGTGCAGAAGTTTCTGGCCCTACTGACTTGCAGTTGCTTCGGAAGGCAGTCCTCACGGAGTTGACATGCTCAGAGAATGTGTGGAAACGTACTCTGACGAGGATTTCCCAGCTTCAGCGCAAACCAGCTGCTTGAAGTCGTTCCGGAGCATGCTGTTATTGAATGATATGACCACGTGAGGTCCCCCATATTCGAGTCGCTTCTCATGATCAGATATGAAGACTAGACCCTGGAACTTTGTGCAGAGCAGTGGTTTCGCTGAAGCGCGGGGCGACGCATAAGACAGTCTGTTACCGTAGTCCAAAAAGGCAGACTTTGTGTGAACTCCGCAAGCCAATGGTGCACCACTGTCCTGCGGGCTGTGTGCCTGCAGTTACCGTCACGATGCGCAGAGTCAAAATGAGCGAAGCGTGGCACCGTCCTGCTAAGCTGCTATGCGCCCCTCGGGAAGACCGGTGTTGCGGACCTTGGACTGGTGTATTCGATGTCATTCGTGAGCCATGCGAGTCGAGGCCGAACGCTCGAGGCCGACTTGGAGCCCGTTGTCGAATGGCATATGGGAGTTTCCGGAAGTTAGGGGTCCTTGTAATAAGGATGCTACTGTTTAGGGGACTATATTAGGGTCCCCTATGTTGGAAACTCCATGAAACTCCCATATGCTTCGGCACAAGGAGCTTTCGACTCGAAACATCTGGATTTGGAACTTTGGAACCGGGATCTTTCGATCCTTTGCACCTCCTACGAATTTTCCTTGGGAAGGATGGTGTTGCAGACTGTGGAATGGTAGATCAAGTCATTCGTGAGCAATGCGAGTCCAAGGAAGACATGCCGCAGTTGAGCATTGAGGAATCCTTACCAAACTACATACGACACATTCGCACTTGCAGAAGGCAGTCATCACAGAGTTGACCTGTTTCGATGTGCAACTCGCGGTTTTGTCTCAAGCTCGCCCGCCATCCTGGCATCATTCAGCTTTGGCAGCCGGCCACTGAACATTTCCTTGGGATCGAACGACTTCAAGGAAGTCTGGATGCTACGAGATCTTCGTCGACTGCTACGCCTTGGTACAAGCGCTGGAAGTTTCCGCAGCTCTTTTTCTTCAAAGCAAGTCAAAAGGCCTGTCTGGATGCTACGAGATCTTCGCCGAGTGGCGTGACAGCCCTTGCTCGGCAATTCTTCCTGTTGAAAGCGAGCTACACTGTGGTGGATGAATGGCCGGAGCTTCCCTCCTCCACGCCGCTGCCCGCTCCATTCCCTCCTCCAGGAGATTTTCGCACCTGCCACGTGTTCCTGGGCCTTGGGATGCCGTTGCAGAACCCTGGATTGGTGAGTCAATTCATTCGCGAACAGTGCGACAAGAAGAAGGACATGCCGCCGAGACTTCACAGAGTTGACATGTGGGGTTCTGCTCTAAGACTCTAAGAACGGCCGCTAAAGCTTCTGCTGTTCTGTTCTCACCACTGTCATGGTGCCTAGAAGCACAAAAGAGCCTGATAGGTCATGTGTAGCTCCTGTTTGTAATGCGTGTGGTTTCGCAGGAGTCGAGCTGTGGAGCTTCAGAGTGCTTTGAGAGTCTTTGGTCCCCATCATGGGAGGCTCGACAGCAGCGGCGTGCCATTGGTGCCCGTATTGATCGGTTTGGTCGGAGAGCCAAGTGTTTCAGGCACCGAGGCCTCCCCGCAAAGCCCCCAAAAGCAGGGCTGAGACAAAGGGACTTCGCAGTTCGCGTGTTTGAAGCTTCCCCGTGCCCTAGGCAAAGAGCTCCACACCCTGGACCTGAGGCACACCGCTCAACTGCTTCGGAGTCATAAGAGTCCCGCTGAGACGCCTCGGCCAGGACGGGTGAGTGGCTAACGCAGGCCATCAACGAGAGAGGCGTCGCAACGGGGAGAGCTGGGGTTGCAGCGAGGTTCAAGGTCTGCCTCGACTGCTCATGTCGATTTGAGCAGGCCGTGAAATGCCCAGCATGGAGGAGGAGATCTTCATCTCAATTGCTCATTTAGAGGCCGTAGGTTTTTTTTTCACGATTCGCCTTGCAGGAGCTCAGCACTGCCCGGGCCTCTGCCGCAGACGCCGAGCACGAGGCGCAGGAGGCGCAGAAGTCCACGCAGGCGCGGGCCAGGGCGCTGCGAAGTGCACCGGGCTGCGTGGGCTTCGATGCGTGGACTTGGCCAGGAGCTTCAGGACTTCCTCTCGAGCCCGGAGGTGCTGGCCATCGACTCGATCCAGCAGGAGGTTGCCGGGCAGGGCAGGGCCGGTTGCATGGGGGAGCGTCATGACGTCATCGGCCGCGCGAGATGGGGAGCAGGTGGAAAAGATGTCCTTCGCGGAGGCCTACCAGGTGCGGCTGCGGCTCTGCGGCTCGCTCTGCGCCTTGTGCGGCTTTTCCGCGGTGGCATCTTTGCCGGCGCAGGATGCCTTCAAGCCCTGGGCTCTCGAGCAGCCCGAGCAGTCCGAGGAGAGACGACAGAGGAGGGGATCAGATTCCTTGAGGGTGCAGAGCCGTGAAGGAGCCGGAGCTCGACGAAGAGGCCGAGCTGGGCGAGGAGCGGAGTGCGGGTGCTTGGTTCCAACATGCACACTTTGCCGGTTTCCCTCAGAGGACGAGTCAGGCTTCGAGGGCCTCGACCCATCCTCCTCTCGGGTGCCCCCAGCCATGATTTGGGCTGAACGCTGAACTGCGGTTCGCGCTGCTCGCTTCGGGGCGGCGAGGATCCACGGACAGAGACGGATATGGGGACTCAGTCTCCGCAATCGCCGATCTCGCCACTTTCGCCGCAATCTGCATACGAGGACCTCGGCTTCTCAGGTAAAGTCCCCGCCCCGCTCCCCCCCCCCTTTTGCGACTCTCCTGGCCAGGATTTGGAGCAGTCGCCGGACAGTGCTTCGTATCGGCAGGCTCGGGAGCCGATCGGCTACAGGGGAGCAGGGTAGCAGGGTAGCAGTGAGCTCTGCAAGCTCTGCAAGCACTGAGGAGGTCGAAGAGGCGTCCTACAACGAGGCAGCGGCAAAGGCTCAAGAAGCCTTGAGCCGTGAGCCTTGTGCTTGGATGTCTCAGGACTTCTCGCCGGTGAATGGGGACCCATCCAGCCCGCAGGCTCTGAGACTCTGCCAAGCCTGCACCATCCTGGCATTCGGAGTTTGGGTTCGCTCACGCCCTCGCTGCATGCGGTGCGAGGCGCAGCGCAGCGTTTCAGAGGGTCGTGTGTCGGCATCATAAAGTGGTCACTCTTACACTGACCTAAGTGCGGCCCGTTATGCACCCTATTCTTCGCGATCATATCTGTTGTTGGTGATGGAATCTTCGTTCGGGTATGGGGCGAAACGAAAGGTTGGGCACATGTTAGCACTTTCGGACTGTACGCCGCTATTTTTGGGGATGAGGGGTTTTGCAATCCCCAGCTTGTGAAACTCTCTTCCAATCCCCTGCTGGCCAATAATATGTCAAGCTATTTGTACCAACTCTCGATCGGAGTACTATCATTTAAGATTCAGTTGTGGAGGTGTTGCAGCCAGCAGCTAGCAACATATGCAAGACGTAGTAGAAGTGACCATAGAGGACAGCTGCGTGTTTACAAGCCTCTACGAGCACAGCTCTGCGCGTGAATCAAAATGAAAGGAGACCGAGCTCGAGAGATCCTACGTGGACGAGGAGCAGCGGCTCTGCTCTGCGAAGCGGTCTTTGCTCCCTCTGCCGCAGGAGCCGGAGCCCCAGTCACCAACTTCTCCAGCGGACCCGGAGGACGCGCCTGCAGCCCACTGGGCTTGAGCCATGCTGGCCGCATCTTGACGCACCGCGCCCTGTCAGGACCCGCCTCAGACGGAGCCTGGGTCTCCGGAGTGACGGGAGTCTCACAACAGCGTTAACGCAGAAGGCCCGCAGTGCCGCCAAGCGGCGCCGTGGCGCTCAGGGCGCATCGACCGGACCCTTCAGGGGGGCCAGTGCCAGAATCGAAAATGCATGAGCTCACCGAGGAGTTCCCGCCCTGATCCTGCCATCAACAAAACGGCAGCACTCCGCGGCCCGCAGCGACCCGACCCGTTGGCTCCGGTTAGTCTTCCCCTTTTTTCTAGCTGCAAGAGCCTTCCAGCTGTGTATGGCATATGGATTCCACACCCAGAAGTGCCAGAGTGAAGTGAGAGATTGGACCCGGAAGTGGGAGAGGAGAAGTGAGGCTACAGCAGACAGCAGCACCCAGTAGCAGAGAAGCAAGCAGCGGCAAGCAGCGGCAGTAGTTCGAGGCCCTTTTGGTCATGCGCTCGTAGCTGGGCCGGGCCCCTGGCCTCGGATGGCCCGCGCAGTTCGAGCTGGCCCGGGCTGGGCCCAAGGCGGCGGCAGTTTGCCAGAGAGAGAGAGAGAGAGTAGCATAGCCTCGGTCAAGCAACCTGGGGGTTTCACGGCCAGACAAGAAGACCGGTGCGCGCATGCGCGCGAGGGGGGTGACCCCTTCTGCCCGAGTGCAAGCAAGAGTAGCATAGCCTGCTCCTGCCTCAAACCCCGAGCCAAGCAAAGCAAAGCGTAGCATTTCCTGCAGGGGAGGCCGGTACCGCAAAATAGTGCACCACGTCAGTAGCACTAGTCTTCAAGAGTGAGCCGACACTGCCGAGCCCTGCACAGTGGTGCTGTCTGGGGTATATTGTTGACAATTGTTGACTGTACGTTGTTGTTTCCTTGTGTTGAGCGGGGCGAGGCACGACCAAGTGCGGAAAACCCGTCCTTCGGCCCCTCGAGGGCGGAAATGGCACCGTAACCTAGGCGCTTTGATGTCGGGGTCTAGTGTTTGTTGCTACCTTGAGGTACCTACCAACAGTGCTGTGCCAAACGCCAGTAGCTTTAGCCTGCCAAACTTGATACAGTGCGTCCCGCCAACAACGGGCTGCCCCTAGCGGCGGGCTCGCCCCTCAAGCCTGGCGAAGAAAGAGAGCGAGCTTCAGGAATAGGAGCTCGGGTGCAGCAAGCACTTGGGGCACCAGCCCAACTAGTTTCGTACCCCACTCTGTCGAGTGATCACTTTTGCCAGCACAGGTCTTCAAGTCTTCAAGCCCTCTTTCTGTTGTGATGTGATGTAGCTCACGTTTGTTCCGAAAGAAACAGAGAGCGGGTGACCACCCCTGAGGCTTAAGGGTCGAGTGGAAGGTCACAGGCAGTGTCGCGCAGGGGTTCAGGCTTCCGTTCGGTTTAAGGCAGGGCTACAGGCTGGGACCAGGGAAACGTAGGGGCATCCGATGCAGTCAACTGTTTTCCACTGCTTCTTACTACCCCTCACGCTGTTGTTGCGAGAAGATCGGGAGCCCAGCCAGCACCTGTGCGACATGTGGATCGGGGAACCAGTGTGTGGTGTCAAGTATGCTTGTTTCTCAAAGGGGACCCGACCACAACAATCGACTCCTGAACATCAGGAGTACACAACCTTGTACAGCCAAGCCCATCCAGAACAGATGCCGCGCGTGACGGGAGGACTGCTCCCGCTCCAAGCCCCAAGCAAAGCAAAGCAAAGCTTTCCTGAAGGAAAGAAGGGAGAGCAAGCAAGAGACAGAGAGCGGGAGACAGGAAACAAGCAGTAGAGTGACAGAGAGAGAGAGGAAGCAAGAATCGCTGCTGATCGCACATCAGCCGCTCTTGCTGCAGGCAATGGCACACACGATGCCTACGCCTATGCAGATTGGGATGGCTGGGACGTGGGTCAGGGCTCCCTGGCAGTCGCCATAAGATGGAAGAAGTACCCGCCAGCTGTCAGGCTGGGAAGATTGGGAAGAAGGCTGGAAAGAAGATGCCTGGTGGACCTACCAGGCGGGCCCCTACCGGCCTACGCCGTAACGGTTAAGACCAATGCGACAGGAGCCGAGGGCGCCGGCGCGAGTGCGCCGTGTGTTCGGAGCTCGGTGCCCCGCGTTCAGCTTGCCTTCATATTCAAGGGTCCTTCGTCGTCGAGGTTCGGTTTTGTTCAATCGAAAGGCGGACTTAAGGGTGGGTGCCTGCAGTTCCTCGTCCCTTCAAGTGTTTTTGAAGCTTAGCGCAAGAATGACATGAGACAGGCAGGCTGGCCGAAGCAACCGGAGCCTGCACCGAAAGTTTCTCGGATGCTCTGAGGTTGCCCCCATCTGGGCCAGCCTGGGTCTCTCAGAGTTCCTCGGACAGGGCCCCTGGGAAGGGGGGGTTGGCATTGTCGTTCTGATGGTGAGTGGGATACCATGAAGCTAGCAGCAAGCAGCTGGCATTGCGTTTCTGACATTGCCTGTCTCATTGCTTTCCAGTTCCCGGTTCCACCACGATCATGACTGTCTTGAGCCGAACTATACCTTTGGGACAAGGCTGCTCCTCTATCGAAGTATTTTCTCGGGGAAGACTTGCCGAAGCCATTGCGAAGGAGTTGGCGCCCAAAGCCCTCAGCCCGGACCTTAGCACACGTCAGCGACCAAGGAGGGGTTCAACCAGTTTTGGAAGCCTCGGGACTGAGTCCGGAATACACCTGATATCCTAAAGCATCTGATGTCCTATAGAGCTCGTTTTCGGTCCCAGTCTCCAGGCAAGGGCCCCGGTAAGGGCAAGGCCAACGGAGCGCTTCAAACGCCGCCAGGCTCCCGTGTGGGATCTCCTCGGACTTGGATACTGTTGCTCTGCTATACTCTGCATGATGGTCATGATGACGTCGTGACTTGATATTGACGACAACGGGTTTGATGATGGTGGTGAAAAATGATGAGGAGGACGACAACGATGTGATTCGTGACGTTCATGAAGATCCGGTCGGTGGTTGCGTTGCGGATGATGATGATGGTGATGGTGATGAAGGTTATTCCACAGCTTGAAGAGCTTAGATGTACTACTCGCGTGGAAGCCGTTTTTCTCAAGCTCGCCCGCCGTTCAGAGACAAGCTGGTGCAGTTATGTTGACGCAGTGATCAAACCAAGCAGTATGCGCCAGGGATTCTCAGTAAGCCATTCACTGTGGTCATCGCCACCGTGAGGTGCAATTGTGGACTGTCTGACCTTTTGGGTAGCCACTTTGGGCCAGTTACCAGAATGAACCTGTCGCCAGAGCTCCACGGTTCTTGGAAGAATGCCACAAGCTCGGCATTGGGTGAATTATGGTGAATTAATTGGGCCAGCTATGACCCAGGGCGCTCGTTGACCCAGAGCATGAGGCACTGAAGCTGAGTAACAAAGCCAGCCTGATTGCCATCCAACATTCGATTGCAGCCTGGGCCCGTCTACGCAACGACATCGATGGCAGTGGAGGCTTGTCGTGCGACGATGGGGCCCGCAAGATCCGCACGCTGAATTCCCTCCTCCAGGAAGAGATCCTTCTCACCTGCTAAGCTGCTATGCGTTCCTCGGGAAGGACGGTGCTGCAGACTTTGGCCTCGTGGATCAAGTCATTCGTGAACAATGCGAGTCGAAGAAAGACATGCCGCAACTGAACATCGAGGCCACCCAACAAGGCAACAATGCCAGATGACACCACCGCGAATGGGCTAAAGCGGTTCGTGGTACATCATGCGCTTACCTGGGATGCGCATACGAGGTCCAGCTGCATACGACAAATTCGCACCTTCAGAAGGCAGTCCTCACAGAGTTGACATGCTCAGAGAATGTGTGGAAACGTACGCTGACGAGGATTTCCCAGCTTCAGCGCAAACCAGCTGCTTGAAGTCGTTCCGGAGCATGCTGTTATTGAATGATATGGAATTTTGTGCAGAGCAATGGTTTCGCTGAAGCACTGGGCGACGCATAAGACAGTCTGTTGCCGTAGTCCAAGAAGGTTGGGTAGCCACTATGGGCCGCTACCAGCTCAACATCGCGCTTCAGCACATAACAGCCTGCGAGGAAGCGAGCGCTTGATGATGGTCGTGCACAGCGACCGGATCAAAAGTTTGCAAGCGGGACAGACTGCATTCGCTTATGCCCGCGAAGCATGGTCGGTTTGGTTGACAGGGACCAGTTGCAAAAGGCTTTCAAGGACTCCAAGCTGCTGATGCGAGACAGGGTGGTGTGGCAAGCTATGGGTCGTTTCCGCGGTTGATGTTTGGTGAGTCGTTGGAAAGCCTAAGTGCGGCACGAGTTCTACCTGCACATGTATCATAGTCTCGGCCCACATCCTCGCCGGCCGGACAACACATCCAGAAGCCGTGCAACTCCCGCATGCACTGAGCACAGTCTTTCATCAACGTAGGCTCCGGTCAGATCCGCAGCCGGTCTGCTTCGGCCTGGGCCCGTCAACGACATCGATGGCAGTGGAGTCCTTTCGTCCGATGACGGAGCTCGCAGTGGAAGCAGTTCAGGGCTGAGGCCAAGAAAGGTCCAAGATACTCTGTGGATCAGTTTCGGCTTGAGCTTCGAAAAGTCCTGGCCAGCTTTCCAGACAGTTGAGAAACCACCTCCAGGAAGAGATCCTTCTCACCTGCTACGCGTTCCTCGGGAAGGATGGCGTTGCAGACTTTGCAATGGTAGGTCAAGTCATTTGTGAGCAATGCGAGTCCCAGACAGTCATGCCGCAGCTGAGCATTGAGGCCATCCTCACCAAGCTGCATACGACACATTCGCACCTGCGTTAGGCAGTCCTCACAAAGTTGACCTGCTGGGAAAATGTTGTGCATTGCGGCTGCGATCCTGTGAATGCCAGCTGTCCTTTAAGCATTATCCGAGGGGACGGAGCTCGGCCGTGTGCACTCTTCCGTGGGTCGCGTGCTCGTGTGCCCACCACCATCAAGCTGTCATGACGCGGAGAGTCACAAAAGAGCGGAGCACGTGGTTGGACATGGTAGCTGCGGATTTGTCTAGAGTGAGTTGGTAGCATCGACGTCCTGTCTCTGCAGGCTTGGAGGTCTCTGGCAAGAGCCGGCCGGAAGGGAAGGCCGGGAAGGAGAAAGGAAAGGCGAAAGGGAAGGGTCTAGGGAAGGAGGGCCTCAAAGGAAAGAAGGAGGGCCCCGAAAGGGCCACAGGGAAGCCGAGGATATCCAAGGGGGCCCCGAGCCAGGGCTACAATGGCGAGAAGGGTCGCACGAAGGGCCGTGAGAAGGGCAAAGCGAAAGGACCCGGAAAGGGAAGGGGAGATGCAGGGAATCCGGGAATTTCAAAGAATACAGTACTGCAGTACTGCAGCAGTTTTGAGAGACATTGACCCTTGACCCTTCCACTCCTTAAGCCCAGCGAAGCTGCACGGTTCCGCTCCTCCCACTTCCAGCCAGCAGGAGTCGATTCTGGGCTCCTCGGCTGCACGTCGTTACAGCTACCTTCGAAGACCAGGAGAAAGCATCCGATTCAGAGAGGTTCGCGCGTTTCCGGATGAATTTCAGACAGACATCTAAGTGATGCGACTTGCGATGCTTCCAGGATCTCTTCCTGCTTCAAGGCCTAAATGGCCAAACCGTAATTAAATCCCACCATAACACGCCTGGAAACCCCCCAAACCCTGACGGCCCTTACCTGAAGAGTGCTGGCAGGCTTGGTCTTTCTCATGACTTCACCCGGCCGCCTCGAGTGCTGCGGGCTCAGAGGAATCAGAGCCTACTCTACGGTTCATGAGCGAAAAAGGGGGCTCAGGTTTCGGATTAGGAGAGTCGGGGTTTTGGGGGTTAGGGTTTAGGACCTTCAGGGAGTCGGGCCGTGGGCATTGGCATTGCTCCATATCCGTCCCAGTCCCAGGTCCCTTGAGGGCGCGATCGGCAGCAGAAGCGTGGCGCCGCCGGCGCCAGCTCCGGCGAGAAACCGAGCTGGGGGTGCCCGAGGCGCGTGAATGGGGCTATCTTAGTAAACTTGTATGTATGCGTGCATGCATCTGTGCATGCATATATGCATGTATTTTTCCTGTGAGGTTTGTAAGTAGGTGTGATTGGTGGTTGTGCATGTAGGTAGGTGCGTGTGTGCGTGCGTGCGTGCGTGCGTGCGTGCGTGCGTGCGTGGGTGTGTGTGTACGTATGCATGCATGCATGCATGGGTTGCATGGATCCATGCATCCATGGATGCATGGAGAGATGGATGGAGGGATGGAGGGGTAGAGGGATGGAGGGATGGAGGGATGGAGGGATGAATGGATGGATGCATGCATGGATGGATGGATGGATGGATGGACGGAGGGATGGACGGAGGGATGGACGGAGGGAGGAAGCGAGGATGCGTAATTCATGCATGCTTTATGCGTGTGTTTTTGTGTGTGTATTTGCATGTGTGCGTGTGAACTTGCTTTGTCACTGGCGTCACCCAGCCTCCCCGCGGCCTTTGCCAGTCGTTGGGCTTCCTATCGGTGCCAAGCCACAGGACAGGTCGCTCTGAGTAGGAGCTTTTGCTTCAAGGCTTTTTTCTTTGCCATGTCTCTGCAATGCTCCGGGGCCGGGGGCAGGACTACGTGCGATCTGCTTCCAGTGCAGGCCAGGGTAGGGGACTAAGGCTTGGTAGTCGGCTTCGACTACCCCGGTTCGGAGTTAAAGGCCAAGAATGAGATCAGAGGGAGCTTGTCCTTATGCTGTACTCGTAGGTGATTTTAACATAGGGTACCTGCGCTTGTGAGCATCGCTGGAAGTTACCAACATGTAGACACTGGACGCTGTGGACCAATCAGCCGGATGTTGGACTCGTCCCCGAAACGATGCTTTCCGACGACGTTCCTTTCAGGCCAGCCAGGCGACTCGAACCAGGCGCATGCACAGGGCCTGTGCTTCCTGGCTTGTGGGCATGCATCCGCATCAGCATCAGCGTCTTCGACATGCGTCGTCCACATATGTCTTCTTCTTCGTCACCACCGCCACCGCCACCGCCACCGCCGCCGCCGCCACCACCGCCACCGCCCACCACCGCCGCCGCCACCACCACCACCACCACCACCATCACCGCCACCGCGGACGAGCACCGGGTCGGCACAGATATCGGGCTGTGGCAGGATGAAGCCGCCTGGCGACCTACGGTGCCTGCTCCCCAGGACTAGTCCTGAGGCAAGGAAAGGTCCAGTCCGTCAGCACAATGCCATGCGCCTCTCTGGTCCCAATTCCCAACATAGCAGAAGCTGCAGCTGAGGAATAAAATCAGAAAGGAAAGAGTCAGCCAGGAGATTTCAGAGACTGGCGCCGCCCCCAACTGGAGCTGCTTTCAAAGCTGCGGATGACTTCCTCTCCTCCCGCCGAGGCGATTAGATCGCTGAGGGCAATGGAGGACCTCGGTGGCCAAGAGACGCAACAAAAAAGGGCGATGCCTTGTTGCCTAGAGTTGAGAGGGAAGCCATTGGGGTGAACAGCTTAAGGGGAAGGTCGAGGCATGAGAGCATGTGACACGGGCTATTGCGGGCTCAGGCGAGGACCATGCCGACTGCCTCATCAAGTCGTCACGGAATACTGGCTTGAGAAAGCATGCTGTTGTCTGCAATGATCTTGAAGTTGAGGGGATCTGAGGGGCACGGACTGAGCTACACCACACACAGCCGAGCAAGATTCTTGAGCCCAGCCGAGCGCAGATGAAATGCTCACAGCCCCGCCGTCGCCCTGGCCGCTTTGGCCGCCTGGGCCGCCTGGGCCGGGTGGAGCAGAGCCAGAGCTTCCCAGCGCCGGTCCTCGAGGAGGAGAAGCACCCGAGACTGCCGTCTTCGAGGATGGGGCCTGGGGGCCCGGCCCACGTCCAGTGCTTTGCTGTGCTTTGAAGTGCTCTTCCGAAAGGTCGCCTTGGGTCTGCGGCGAAGGCGGCTCCTGGGCGGCTGCGAGGCCGGGCGCCATGGGAAAGGTTTGGGGAGGGCCAGGTTTTGGGAGTGTTTCTTGCCAGGTGCGTCGCGCGGCGCCTCGCCCTCCTCCGCGAGCCGCGCTTGGGGCCGCTCCGGCACCTCGACGAGAGCCGGTGACCGGTGCGGTCTTTCTGTCCTGAGGCTTCACAAAGACATGAGTCTCTGAGAGTCCAGTTCGGCCGCGTCGCAAAAAGCCAAAGGACGCGTCCGAAAAATCTGAAAGTCGCGCCGCCAAATTCCGACTCTGAAGCATGGCCTATCCGTGGCTTCGTGCGTGCTGGCCGCTGGCAGGCCTTGGCTGGATCTCTGCTGTTTATTGGGCTGGTGGCCGTGCTGCCGATCTCTCCGGGTCTTTCAACTGTTCGTTTGGGTCCACGAGCACTCCACGGCTGCCATAGTCGCATGGCGCCTCCCATCACGGCTTCAACGTGACCGTCGCAGCGGCAGCAACGCAAGACATTTCGTGTTTGCCCACGTTCCCACCTCGACACGAGCGGAGCAGGGTGATGCCTCTGTCGCCCGGAAGGACAATGCAAAGTAAACTACGTGGTGCTGCCACGTCGTAATGTAGCCCTGGCGAGTTCTGCTGCGATGCAGCTGTACAAGGTTTCTGAGCGAAATGCGGGCACGATGCACTCGTGCTGTTGAGCTGCAGTACTTCTGTGCCAATTTTGCCAGTGGTTCGGTGTGACCGGGTTGTGCTGCCGAGCCTTGCTGTAGAAGTGCAAATGCGGGTTGGATGTGCTGCCGTGCTGCGAAATTGAATGTGGGCGTAACTTGGTTGTGTTGCCGAGCTGCCATGCCGCTGTGCAAAATTCTCTCTTGCCCGATGCAGCTATTCCGTGTTCTCGGGTGGCTCGGATATCCGTGTGACGCGGTTGTGCGGAAGCCGCTCCAAATTCTCGCGGGGAGATGCTGGTAGCCGCGAGCCAACGCAGCTGTGCGAAGCTCTTGATCAACGTTTGCTGCTGTCGAAACCTCGAGCGGATGCGTTTGACGCACTGGTGCTTCGTAGATGCGGTGCCGATGTTACTCTGCTTGTGCCTGCGGTTGTCGGTGGCTGCAAAGGACCTTGCATGCTCGCTACACGACGATGTTGCTGATTGATTGCATGGGCGATCATGGCAGGGTTTGCCCACGGGGTGGCGACAAACCCAGCGGCGCGCCAGCTGCCGAGCTCAGCCTCGGAGCTCGGGGGCCCCTCGGGGCCCCTGGGGGCCTCGAGCGCCGAGCGCCTCCAGCGCCGATGCCGCAGGCTGAGGAGCCGCCTGGCTGCCCCGTCTTCGACACGTCCAGTCAGGACCGTGAGGTCGTCAACATGGGCGACCCGTTGAATGGAGTTTGGGCCTCCTACGGGGGGCAGAGGCGTTGAACAAGAACTGACTGCAACCGACCCTGCCCCCGCGCCGGGGTCAACCTCGCCCCGCAGTTTTCGATTTGGCGGTAACATCGAGAAAGGGGGCAAGGGGCTGCAGTTGCTTGAGCGACATCCGGGAACCATGTTGCGGAAGACTATGAAGCTAGAAAGCAGCTCATTTGCAGGCGCGGCAGTTGGCGCGGCTGCGGCAGCTCTTTGCAAAGAAGAAATTGCGGCGCGGGAGATTGGAAGGCTCCCATGCGCATTGTGTGGACGGCCAGCACCCTGCTTCCCGGTAGGCATGACGGATCCGCAGGCTTTGTGGCTACGATTGTTTTCGCTGCCGACAAATGTCCCTTAAGGCAGGGAAACATTTCTGGTCCACATGACCGTGTTTGAGAGAGCAGTAGCGCAGTTGCGCCAAGGTTTGCAATGGAATGCGAGTGCGATACGGTTCTGTTGCCAGGTGCGATATCGTATCCGTAGGAAGGATATTTAGGGGCTGCGCCCAGGTGCGGGCAGCGCGAGCTGTTGTCAGAAACCCGCGGTATATAGATAAGTGCAACGTAGGCCCGAAGTGCGCAACTTGTGGGTGATCGTAGGCTCTCAGCCCCCGTCGGCCCTGCATGTAGCCCGCACCCCCCGTCCGCCGGACCCCGCTGATGCTCATGATGCGCGCCCTTTGGCGGCTTCCGCAACCCACTCAAAAACTTGGGAGTTATGACTTCGCGCCCACGTCGCGCCGCCGGCGCCGGTTGCGGGCGCCCGAGGGCTCATGATGCTCGCCGGCTCGCCTCCTGGCGTCGTCCACGGCGGCCCCGAAACCCGCCACA